GCGGATAAAACCCCCGATTGCCCTGGATAATTGTATGCGCCTGACGCGCGCAACACTCCGTCTCGCGTTATTCCGAACGCGTTTATATCATAGAGTACTCTACGATGATTTACGCGCGCGGCACGCCGTCGGGCCCGTAGAGCGCGCACCACCGCGTACTATTAGCGTACGCGACGTCCCGCCAGACTGCTGGGAGTCGTTTTGTCGCTTTTGTGTGTGTGTGTGTGTGTGCGCGTGTGTGTGTGTGTGTGTGTGTGTGTGTACACACACACGCCGCCGCTCATCACGCTTCGCGCAAGCGCACGAATCGCGTTGTTTTCGTTCCGGCCGCGTCTTCCGGCCGACGGTTTCCGGACGCGGGACTATGCGATCTCTGGCCTCCGTCGCTGCCGGTCCTCCCTGCATTCTTCCGGTGACATCCTGACGGTGATACGCTGCTGCCGCCGTCACCGTCTTCGGCGATAAGCGAACGGGCCACTTGTTGACGACGGGCCATCATCGATCCGAAACGCGAGAGCTCTTTAAATTTCCGAAGTAATTATTCTTTTCTCGCTTTTGTGTCGTTCACTATATTATACGTACACATTTATTACAGGCAGAGCGGAGACGACGGCGAGAGAAAGGGTCCGAGGGCTCATTTATTCGTTTCGTAGACGGGAACTCGGTTGAACCATAGATTATTGTAATAATATCTAATACTATTATGAAATCTATTACGATGAGGTACGTCTGTATACTAATTATACCTACACTCGTCGCGTTTATCGTTATTTTAGATTCTGGTTTTTTTTTGTTCTAATATAGTTGCACGGTCAGTGAAATATAATAACACGTACTAATCGTACGTGCTATTATTTTCTTGTATCAGCTATAACGGTGAAATCAAAATAAAATATTACAGCGGTATATTCTATCTAACTACCGATAGTATATTGAAATTGGTACTTAATACATTTTTCTAAACAAACGGGTAACTTTTTTGGAAATCGCCCACCGTCGTAATATTATTACGCGATGAATAATACGGCGCAACACGGGGAAATTGCGTTAAGGGTTTGGGACGCTATTAGATTACGAGCAATACGTTAAAATATTAAATTAGTTACCTACTCATTTAGAAAAACGTATTAAAACTAATATTACGTACCTATTATTAATGTTACCGGTATAGGTATTTAGAACACGTTTGATGTTATAACCGATAGTAATAATAACAATAATAACAAATTACCCATCAAGGCTGTACCAAACGGAGGTTTTGAGGGTTGAACCCCCCTCCCCGAAATTTGTTCTTTTTATATTATATTGGAGAGCAATAATTATTTCGGTCAATAAAGTTAGAATGCTACAATTTTTAGTCGATAATTTCTCCCTCCCTCCCTCCCCAATCTGAAATTACTTTTCAGTTATGGTCTTGGTATCTATATTGCATCGAGATAAAGAATACGCGTTTGTCGGGATCATAGATAGTAAATAATTACCTATTACAAATTATTATTACATTTTGTTTAATATCTATACACTGTTGGGGTACGTTGCAAAATAAAAAACTTGTAAAACACGCATTGTATTCTTTATGTTGATTAATTATTGTTATCAGTTATTTTTTGATAGAATAAATACTAATTATACTCTATTGAGCTCGATATACAACGTGTCTCACGAAGACATACCCTTTGCGATATCTCCTGAGATATTGAAGATAATCAAATTCTATATTAATTTTGTTTTTAAATCTACGATTCGTGGAAATAAGGAGTGAAAATGTCCACATTTTAATTGAATTTGTGTGTTTTGGTAAATAGTTTTTAAAAATAACTTTAAGTTGTTTAAAAATCTAATCGCCACAGGATACTCCTGTTTAATAAATGCTGTGCAAAATCTATAAGTATACGAAAATATCGTCTTTTACTAGGTACCCTTAAAAATTCCAAATATCAGAATTTGAATGCATGCATTATTTAAACATAAAATGGGATAAGCACGCTTAAAAAAATCACTCTGTGTATTATTATTATATATTATGATGTCTTTAAATTATAAAAAAAAATTATGTTAATAATAATATTTCTTAAAAATTATCTTTATCACCCCTCCCCTCCCACCCGGTTATGTGTTAAACTGAGCCTAAACTACTAACACTCAACGTTCTAAAATATAAACGCGTTTCAAACATCCTGAATTTAAAAACAATTTGTTTCTTAAAGTATCTATCGTCTATATAAAATTAAAAAATGTCCGACAATAAATAATTTGTTAATCTGATAATTTATGATATTAGTTACTCGGCTTTTGCAATGTACGTTTCTCTGGCCATCTTTACATTCAAAATATTTTTTTAAAAAATGTAATTATAAACATATATTTGCATAACCGTTCATTTGCACACATTTAAATTATATTGTGTAAAACCGAACATTTCTTAGATTATAAAACGAGCGTTCCGAATAGTTGTAAAATATTGACATGGGTTCGGAGCCAATCGGTCAAAATCGCGGAACCAACTTCACGGACGTAATAAGTATTAATAAATTAATGTTCTATTATATATTTCAGAAGATGTATTATCGCATTATGTAGTGAATTTGAATTAAAATTTTGACCACAGTAATTATATTACCAAATTAAGTAATTAAATCCCGTTGAGAGCGTAGTATATTTTACTTTGATTAATTATTTAGTAACTTATTGCTAAAACATTCCAGGCTTCAAGTGGATTTTAAAATATGATTTTAGCTTCTGATAACTTTTATCTCTGTAAAATTGTCTCCTATGTATACTCTGTGCAATACGTGATCTAGATACGAGGTCGTATATTGATTTTATTTATTAAGGTTCATAAAGTTTTCAATAGTTTGGTTTATACGAGTATTAGTATACAATAGAATGCAATTAGATCGGATGGATATTAGTTAGGTAGGGTAAGCACACACTAATAATATCTGGTTTTTATTTTCTGAAATATTTTACAAATATATTCTTATATTTATATTTCGTTTTATGCGGTAGATTTGGGTATTATGAATCCATTAAACAAATTAAATAATATTGTAATAATAAGTACAAGTATAAAACAATAAGTAAAAACGTGTTTTACATTCAGTTTCGAAATTTGATTAGATTTACTCGGTGTATATAAAAATATAAATACAATAATAAATCAAATAATAAACTTTATATCGAACATATTTTTTTAAAGTTTATGTAGTATTTTCAAGGTATAAACAAAAAAATCACCATCGTTATTTTAAATATTTAAAGTTATGGTTGTGTATTACTTATAAATTATTATTCTTCTCGAGCTAAAGTTTAAAATGTTCATAAAAGTAAATCTTTGAAATATCCGGGAAGACATACCTAAATATTTCATGGACTTTATGAGAGTTTTTGTATTTTATTACTCTCTTTTTACATTTTAAAGAATCTGAATGTAGTTTTGGTAATTTTGAACGTTTTGCTATTAATTTTCTATTAAAAAAAAAAAATGTACTTTCTTTGGAAATAATTTTACCTACCTACAGGTTCTATAGGTATATGTTCTAAAAACTTTTACTTCGAGTATCTTCAATATACTTTTAAGTAAATCCACGGTAAAAGACTCCGTCTGTACTATTTAACATAATGTTCGTATTATGGAGAATTTTATTTACTTAGTGTATAATTTTCTACGATAATTACGCTCATTTAAATGCGTATCCTCATTAGTATGTAGATATGTAGAATACTTTTTTTGTACTTATCTTATAAGTTATGTTTTTGGCACTTTGCACACAGTATTCGCATTTTCACTATACGGTTAATGAAATTAATTTAAATATCCTCGGAGAATATACAAAAAAAGAGGGAGTATTAAGGGTAGTAAAAGTACTTTATAAACTGTAAAAGCTGATAGAAGTAGAATAAGAGGAAGAAGAATGTGAATTTAATTATAATATATTTCGATTTAAAATTACACTATAAAAAAGGTCATTCGTAAATAGCCCTAATAAAATTCATATTTTTTTAATTTCATTAACATTATCTACCTATCGTCTTATAAATTATAAAAAAAAAATTATATTTATACAGGTAATTAAATAATACGTTTTATGGTTTTTTTTTTATCAAATTCATATTATACCATAATAATACTTGTTTTGAATATCATTAATTTCCTTTTTAATAATCGGTTTTTTTGCTGAATCAAATCAACAAAAATCCCCTTCCACTCATCGGTTCCCACAAACAGTATTGACAAACGACACCACTGCACCAGTGGGCAGTGATATGTTTACATTTTGTATGAGGTGATGCTGATGTTTATTAACGTTTGTCGATTTAAAATTTGAATAAATTATTTTAGAAATATTCAGCATATTAGGTAGTAAATGAAAATTGACAGTTTTCGAGTAAATTTAAATTAGCTTGACAAAAACAATGTCATTAAATTATTTGGGATGGGTTTCTCAAAAATAATAGTAACAATAAGAATCCGATTTTGAGCGCAACCTTACCGATTATAATGTAACTTGCCTATATTTTTCAAAATGATGTGTATATCTACAATAAATAGATATCCAGGGCCGTCCTTCACCTTTTTTAGGTCCTGGGCAGTGGTATATGAGGCCCCTACGACTTGGAAATAGTAATATTTTATTAAAACAGGTAAACAGGGTGGTGGTAGATAAGAAAAAGTCTAAGTTAATTTAACTATAAATTGTTGTTTTTAATTTTTTTAATTTCACATTAAATATGGTTAGTACAATATAAATTTAAAAATTAATATTATATTAAATAATTATAAAATAATCCAGACATTTTTAAAATTCTGTTTTTTATTGGCGAGGTACGCTTCTAGATTTAAGATGGGCAAAATCGTTAATTACTTCTTTGAAGTCTATGTCTTTGAGCATATTACATTCTACTGACATCAACGACAAACTGTTTAATCTTTCTTGTAGCACAGTATTTCTTAATTAACTTTTAATTCTTTTCAATTTGGAAAAAGAACGATCTCCACTTCAGTTAGTTACTATCATGCTTAAAAATATTCTCAATGCAATTTCTACATTTGGAAATGTATCTTCAATTTTGTATCCTTTCAAAAGATGATATATTCTTAATATACTATCAGTTTCTTCATTTTCACTGTAAACATGTTCCAAGTATTCTTTTAAATGCACACATTCCATTTCTAACTCTGCTTCATTAACGTCTTTGTTATAGATGTTAGCAAGTTCTTTGCAACATTGTCTCAATACTGCAGAATTTAGTGTTTTCAAGCTAAAAACCAAACCAAACCCCTGAATAATGTCCTTGTACGAACCCAACTGCTGTTTTAGATGCACGCTTAGGGTACCAATATTATGGGAAGAAAGGTTTCTACTTTAAATTTATCTTTCCCATACAGTTGGACAGACGATTCAGAGGCATCAAAAAAACTCTGGTGTGAACTTCTAACTCTTGTTCTTTGAGATAGGTCCTTGTAGTCAGATCCTGAATTTTTTTTTTTGGCGGACAATTCACAGTAATCAAACCGGTCGTATCCCACATTTGATTGTTTATAAATATATATATATATATTTATGTATGTATTGTGTCTGCGTGTACCGTGCGGTCGGACAACCGACCCGCGTCGATTGTATTATTATTATTACTATTAGCGATTATCCTTTGATTTTTCTCGAAATAAGTTTATTTATCGGTAATAAATATCGATTATCGGTTGGTGGTCTGGCAGGAGCTAGAGGGTTCCCTCGATCACGGGGCCCTGGACACATGCCCAAAGTGCCCAATGGGTAAGAGGTGCCTGCAGATAGCATATTTATTTCACGGGTTAATTTTTAATACAACTTACATAGAGTATAGTTTTGTTGTTTTATCATACTCGGTCAATATTTGCACTTACATACTTGTCTTATGTGTCAAACAAGTAAAGCGTGAAATTAATGTAGGTACGGCGACATCTTATAAATTCGACGATCCTTTGTCCTGGATTTTCGAATTGTAATTTACATTTCAAAGTTAATCAAATTTACATAAACATTAAATGCAGTGAATTTAAAACGTATTTTTAATTAAATTGAAATTTCGTTTAAAGTAATGAATTATTTTTATATTTTTTTAAAGTTTGTATAAAATCAAAAATAAATAATATATTTATTTAAACGCGGATGACATATTGGACATCGAACTTTTGTTAGTTTTTCGATTTCGATGAGTTCTACGTCAAAATATCTTCGTCAAATCATCTTCAATACAAAATATCTCCGCCAAATACGAAATATACCAATAAAAAAAACGTTTTCATTGTCACCCGATAAAATAGGTCCTATTATGTTTTTTAAAATTAAATTGAATAAATAAATATAAAAAAAATATTATTTTACACTCGATCATCTCTTGTCTAAACTGTTATCGATTATAATCGAATTAAATTATCTGTATTGGTAAACTGTCCATGATAAACGGAAGTGATTTTTTACTGGAGATATTTTAAGGAGGTCACCTTTTGATGCCCTAAAAGTGTCAAATAACTCTAAACTAGTTTTGAATTTTCCACTCTGTTTGAATAAAATAGTTTTACCCACGTAATAATTATTCCGTTTAAATTCAAAATGTAATTAAAATACTGCGGTTTCTCGGCGAGTCATTTGAAACTATGTTGTAGATACCTAAAGTTTGACAGAAATCTAGTTATAATTTTTGGCCACTTCGATTACTATTTAAACAAATTAAAACTTTAAGCCATTAGTTTATTATTGCTATATTTATTCATGTACTATGTTTATAAGTAATAAGTTTATATACGGGTTTTAATTTTTAACGGGGATTGTTATTGAACCACGACATTAAACGGGATTTCTCTTACGTTGTTTTTGAAAATACACACATACAAATTAGTTATTACTGCAGTAAATCGGTGATGTTAAAAGTCATTATACTTATTACATCCAAAACTCGACATTTTTTCTTGAATCGAATAAAATAAAATTCTTTAATTCAAATAAATATGATGCAAATCCACTGACCAAGATAAATAACTTTCGAACAAAAATATAATATTTAAATATATTCGGCACTTATTTGCATTTTATGAAATATTTGATTTATAAGGAATACGATTCAAAATATAACTTATTTATATCTATATTAACTTATTATTTTTAGCAATGCGACAAAAGTTATTTTTTAAAAGAACAATAAAGTCGTAATCTGAATAACTAATACTATAGATTTAAGCTTGATTTCTTTTAAGTTTTGGACCCCCTATCAATTTATATTGCTCATAGTGAATTGCTCGGCCCTCGTAGGTTCGTACAAGTTTCACAGTTATAATCAGGTTTTTTAACAGTTTGGAATAAGCCACGGTGTAGTCGGTTGTTTTTGACGTATACCGGTCAATGATGGATCTTTCGTAGATAATATTATTGTTAAAACTTTGTTTCGAAAGATTGACATTTTATTAAATTTGCCGGGAACTGCAGCTACCCATACGAAACACACTCATATTACACACGTCACACATCGCAGATATTGTAACGAATGGATTGAATTATTGATTTTTATATTACACCCGTCATTTCGAAATTTAAAGTTCAAACACAGTATTTCGTATTTAAAAGTGGTTATAAAATGCCAGCTGTGTCCGATATCAAAAATTGATTGGTAGTTTTTTAAATTCGAATTTAGTCTTTTAGACATTCTTTTTAGCATTATTATGTCTCAAGAAAGCTCGAAAAACACATTTTCATGGACTTGTATAACAATAATTTGAAAATACGAGCGAAGCAAACTAACATACTTTTTATAATAGTAATTACAAATAATATTATACATATAAATGCATTTTTGGTCTAGTGGGCCATGAGATATTATTATTCATAATATATTTTATCATTAAATTCATAACTGATTTTTACCTAACGTTTAAAACTATTATGAGCTATAATAACAGAATCATTCAGAATCATAGATTATCATAATGTGTGGTTCTTTTTATACACGCGTTGGTCAAAAATGGCATACTGGGTTAATTGATTCTAAATGGTTTTTTTTTTTTTTTTTTTTACAATTTATAATTCATTGACGTACAAATGTATTTTTTTAAATTTAAATTAAACTATATGACTCGATATCTTATATCACACCAAGCTTGGAGTGGGATTTATAATTTAATTATATTAATTTACAGTCTATGCAGTTTACATTTACTCAACGCTCAAATTAAATCATTTTTTACGCAGTTACCTTCTGCAGAGTTACCTATCAATATTATTATCAGTGGTGTTCCTATACTGCATATTATATGTACCTATGCCATTATAATAAACTCTCAACATTTTGTTGAAATATCACGGATAGACTGCGTGTACTCTCTCAAAAAATCCATTATGGTTTATTATTATTTATTACCACGATTCGTTCATATAACTTATGTCACTAAAATCGAAACAGTAATATAAATTGTATTTATTTCAATAATAAGTATAAATGAAAAATTCACAATTTTCTTACGATACACGGTACTTTAGTTTTGAAAATGTCGATTGTTTTGTTTTAGTAATTTAAATTTATTTTTCGTATGATTATTTCCCTGAAAACAAAATAATCCGTGAGAAAGATATGAAATTGGCTGTTACAGTAGGTGTTACGCTATATACTCTCAAGCAAATTAATGGTAACACCAATGATTATTACATAAATGGTTCGGACATAAATCCGTAAAGATTTGTATTTTTAATATCTGCGCGGATTTTTGTAATAATTATTTTCTCATTGTTGTTAGACACAACAAATACGAAAGAAATGAGCTGCCAGAATTGTTAGACCTATTGAATTTCTTTCAAAAAATAAAAAAAAAAAGAGGAAAGATAGTTCATTTGTGTGTTTTTTTTTTTTATTATTATGATTATTATTTCAAAAGCTTTGCGTAAATGCCTTTTCTTTTTAACTTTTTTATGATGCGTATTATATTTTCACGGCCACTGTAAATAGTGATAGAAGCTCGTGAAAAACCCATTAAAACATAATATTATAAATAGTTTACGTGAACGTATATGTTTGTATGAATATTTTTCCACCCATTTATTGCATACCCATATCTACATGTATGTCTATTTGAATACGAGTGTAAGGGAAATGACACAGTATGTTACGCCTTCGAGAAAATTACTTTAGGATTGGATTTATTTCGATTGTTCAGTCGATGTAGGGGTACATACCGCCGCGATAAATTGTATTGTTTAGCTATTCACATCCAAATAAATATTGTCCTGAACCATATAATGCAATATTTTCATGTCTAAACAAAATCGAATCTTTTACGAATTTTATTATTTGAGGCATACTAAAAAATTGTCAACTTAGTAAGCTACTTTTTTTTATATATATATATATGTATAAAATTCGCTTCAACAATCTATTTTTTAACCTTAGGAAGCTATTTTTTTATTTGAAATAGGGACTATTTATGGTTTTTGTCAATTATATACAATTTAATGTTCTGAATATTAATTCTTAGAATATTATATTATAAACACTTCAATGCCCATTGTAGCAAATATGTAACATGTTAAAATAATATGTTTCCACACAATATACGGATTACAAAAAATGTGTTGCACAGTCTAACGTATAGTTTAAGCCCTAATCTATGTTTTATACTGACACGCACATGCAAACGTTATCAATTCCCGTTTTGTACCAGTAGTTTTCTCTCGTGTGGTTTTTATTTTCTTGATTTACAAAATGTGCTTTGAGTGAAAAATACTATTTTAAATCGTCGTAGATGAAACTTAAAATTATTATAAGGTTTATATGAAAATTTATAGCACACAAATGATTGATTCTTACAGATAAATTAAACTAAATATTCTTAATATAAAGGGATCCTTTTGAATAGTGAACTCGTCTCGATTATAAGTCAAATTTTTATGTTCTGACTGGGTGTTCCTATAATTATTAAATATCTCTAAATAACATTTACGGATAAGCTGTGATAGTCGCGTTGTAAATCCAAAAGTTTGGAAAGTTTTAATAGCTCAAAAGTCGCCAGAATATTTCATAAATGTTGATAAAATCCTAATATAAATACTTTTTGAATATTTCAGATTTATACGATTATATTTTTTCAAATTAAGACAAAAATCAAAATTAATGAATCCGTCCATTTTATTGTTTTTCCTACGTTTATTTTTAATTATTAGGAAAACTATATGGAAAATTAAAAAAAGATCTTCCGGTGCACCACCTAGTTCCCAAATACTCCAAAATCACACGCTATTTGTTAATTAGAGTAAGATTTCTGGTAGAAAAGTAAGTTGTTTACAGACGAAAAAAAATTGCTTCGCTCAAGTAAAATAAAAAATATATCAAAACTTCACAATATTAACCAATATAAACTGTATATAAATGTTTAAATTTTATAGGCTTTTAAAATTAACTTGAGAAATTACAAGTCAATATTTTATTGATACGAAATATAGGCACTTTTACCACCGAGTAGTTTGTAAAATTATTATTGATCATTTAATATTTGTAATGCCATCAGA